ATTGATAGATTGTTTGGGGCTGATAGACTGTTTTGGGCTGTAGCCTATGTTCTAACATGTGAGTGTTTGGTACACACAGAAAGAACAAACTGATAAAAAAAAAAAAAAGCTGGCAACCTGGTAGAAAAACAAAGTACATGAACAAACATTTCACAGGAAGGGAGACAATTGTCAAGCCAATAAGAGTAGGAAGGGCTAGCCAGGAAATGCAGGTGACGACGTTTTTTTTTTACAGCTGATTCTTTAAACACTTTTAAATTTTGGAAGGCGTGCGTGGGAATTTTCCCGTGCTGTCCTGGGGACAGAGGTTGGTTTAAGCCGCCTCAGAGATCCAGTATTCCTATTCCTAAGCATATCTGCCCTAAAGAACCCTTCCACGGGAGATATGAAAGGTCACTTGGCCACCAGCCATGTTGTGGGAAGACCACACAGTCATGGAGGGAGGAGATGACTGGTAAAAGGACACAATCCAGGCGTGTGGAAGGGTCAGCAAGCCTATCAGAATATATACTGACACAGACCAAGAAAATAAAATAAGGTAGGTGCTGCAAAATTGAATATACAATATACAGCCGGGCTTTGGTGGCCCATGCCGTTAATCCCAGCACTCTGGAGGCAGAGGCAGGCGGATCTCTGTGAGTTTGAGACCAGCCTGGTCTACAAGAGCGAGTTCCATGATAGCCTCCAAAGCCACAGAGAAACGGTCTCAAAAAACAAAAAAACAAAAACAAAAATTTGAATATACAGAAATCAGAATTGATCCAAACTCCTTACACAAAACAGATAAACCACCAAACACTCAAATGATGGAATTCTATTTGTAGCAGTTAAAATAATGAACAAACTCAGAGGCAGCAACACAAAAATCTCAAAAACAAAGTATTGAGCTAAAATTAAAATGTAGAAGGATATGTAAACCAAGACATCATTTCTATGGGGTTGGAATATGCTAAATAATACGAAGCCTATGGAAATATAAAGTAATTAAAAACCGAATTATTCCTGACAGCTACATCTCTCAATCTAGGTATGTGTGTGCTTCTGAGGAGAAAACAGAGTGACTGGAAGAGAGGGGCCAGAGTCAAGCGATGTTTGATACTATCTGTAACATTCTATTTCAAAAATGAAGCCAGCCATGGGGCTTGCCACCTAGCCTGATGTCGGAATCCACAGATTTTAACAACAAGCTGATGCTACAAGGTTTTCCCCACATATATAAAGACATAACAAAAGTTTTAAATGGATAAAATAAATCGTGAATACAACAGAATGGTGGGTATGCCTAAACTTCCAGTGTGCTTTAAATGTCTTTGCCTAAAGAATGCGTGACACCATAATTCTAAAGCTTCACTTTTCCTAATTAAGTCTTCAAAATGATGGAATTTCTAACTAAATGCTGAGATGTCAATAAAGCTTCCCACAAAAAATTGTTCAAGCAAGGAGTGGTGGTACGCAGCCCCCAGGAGATCGCTAGGTCAGTGCTAACCCTTCTCAAAACAAGTAAAAACAAGGTCCAAATTCCCATTGTGAAATATATTTAAGGGTATGTCCATATGGTAAATAAATGAATGAAGCTCTTAGACATAAATGATAAGTACCCTGACCATTATATATATATGTATATATATATATATATACACATATGTATACTGTATAAATATATAAGCCTGTGGGTAACAAATTGGAAAACAATTTATAAATGATCCCATGAACTCTAAAGTTACGAAAGGCTTTGGGTGAAGTGTCTTAGAAATTTTTTATGTTTTAGATCTGGCTTAATGGATAAAGGAGTATTTTTAAAATAAATATGTGATGAACTTCATATACATTTTGACTTTGGTAATAATTCGGAAGTGCAGGTTGAACCAAACTGAGTTCTGGAGACAGAGTGGAGCCCTTTGGGTTTCCTTTCTGCTAGCTCTGTTAAATGATCAGGTTAAACAAACAGGCACACAGCAAGATGACTTGGGTCAAATCACTATACACACACACCCAATTTTCAAGGGTGGTGGCAGCCACAAGTCACAGGGGGGCCGGGGGGGGCGGGGGGGATCCTCTGCTGTCCCTTTAAGGAAGGCGGTGCTTGGGGACCTTGGTTGTCCCATTGGTGTCTCAAATCAATCAGATGGAATTCTCCCTCACCGTGCTTGAATCCCGATAGCTCAGCACACTGGATAGGTAATGTGATCATGTCTGGTGTAGATGAACACAGACTCAAATTAGCTACTGAAAGACCAAGCTTCTCAGAGTTAGCTGTGCTTTTCCACTTTTGTGCAAGAGCTGAGCTTCACCAACTGGCTAGCTGGAGGTGTTATTAAAAATTTAGTGAAAGAGACAAAGGTGTGCTGGGCGTCTCTCGTTACCCTTTCTACGGTTACCCCCGGCAGACAAAAGGCGCAGAGCCCACCTCATGAATAATGTGGCATGGAAATATTCACAATCCATTTTTAATGGAGCCTGAGTAATAACATTAGGGGAGATATTTGCAATCTTCAGGTTTCACAGGGCTACTGGCACAGTAATTTGTTTTGATTCTTAACTGAGGGATGTCGAGATAAAATATTTTCCCCGTTTTAAAAAAAAAAGCACATAGGTAACATCAAAGGTATACTTTCTTGGCTAAGCAATGTGGAACTTGCCTGTTATTCCAGCTACTTGAGGAGCCAAAGCAAGGGAATTGCCCAGTTCAGGCCCAGGTTGCCAGGCTGTGTTACTCAGCAAGGAGGAGAGAGGGGGAGAGAGGGAGAGAGGGAGAGAGAGGAAGGGAGGGAGGGAGGGAGGGAGGGAGGGAGGGAGGGAGGGAGAGAGAGAGAGAGAGAGAGAGAGAGAGAGAGAGAGAGAGAGAGAGAGAGAGAGAGAGAACTCCTAGTAGCATAGCACAAACATATCGAGAAATGAAAGTGGACAAATATTCCAAATGCCACCAGGCAAACCCTTGGACGCTTCATCTCCCACAGGTCCTGAGAGGCCACCTTCTCACACCTTACAGGAGTAAACTCTGGATAGAGTAAACTGACGTGGAAAGACCTAGTCTTGGGAAGCAAGCAAGGATGGCCAAGGACTTAGATCTGGCAAAAGCAGCACCAAAGACCCCCGGACCCCCACTTGGGAAGTTTTGTGTGATTCCTGGCTGCTGGAAGAAACAGGCGGCTCTCCATCGCCCACCGCTGATGAAGTTCCACGGGGCTTGTCCTCACTGCTATGCCTCCAAACACAGGCTGGGTACCCAGGAAATTGACCTGAATGGGAATGGACAGTGCTGGTGGTTCCCCCTGGGTCACATGGGCTGAGGCTCCCACTGGAAGCCTTCTGAGAACTAGTCGTAGGGAAGGCCAGGACTTGGTTCTAGTTTCAGTCCTTCTAAAGGACCCTGCTGATGCCGGATAGAGACGGGACAACCCTGTGCTGACAACTAGTGTCATGTCAACTGGACACAAGTTGGAGTCATCTCGGAGGAGGGAACATCAACTGAGAACATGCCTTCATAAAATCAGGCTATAGGCAAGCCTGAGGGGCATTTTCTTAAACTGGTGATTGATGGACCACCCTAGGCCGATGGTTCTGGGTTCTGTAAGAAGGCAGGCTGAACAAGCCCTGACAGGCAAGCCCATAAGCAGCACTCCCTCCAAAGCCTGTGCTCCTGCCTCCAACTGAGTTCCTGCCTTGGCTTCCCTCAGTGGAATATGGCTTGGGCTGTGTAAGAGACAAATAGAAGCCCTTCCCTCCACAAGCTGCTTTTTATTCATGGTGCTTTGTCCTAGCAATAGGAACCCTAAGACAAACCCAGATCCCATTTCACTCTTCCTGATGCATTTTAGCTTTGTGGTTTGCCTTCAACATGACAGTCAGCCAATCAATACCTCTCTCTCTCCCTCCCTCCTTCCTCCTCTCTAGTCTCCTCGGGAATCTGAGTAGTCAGAATCAGACTGGGGTGGTAGGACCACATCTGTGCTTTACCGTCAAGTCACAGGATGCATCAGTGACGGGCCTACAGCGGGACTCAAATCTGTGCTGAAAAGGTAACTAGGAAGCTAAGAGCACCTGCTGCTCTTGCAGACAACCTGAGTTGGGCCCAGCACCCATGTCAGACAGTCCACAACCGCCTTTCACTCCAGCGTCAAGGCCTCCAACAACCCTTTTCTGGCCACCTCAGGCAGCTGCACACTCATGTATGTACATTTACCACATACACAGAAACACACACACACACACACACACACAAATTTTTAAAAAAATACTTTTTAAAACAGATCTCTAAACCAAAGGACTATGATTTTCGTCTAGGAGCCTATGTCCTTTTTTTTGTTTTTTAAGGTGAAATTCTCAGAGGGAAGAACTGATGTCCCCATGGGACTATCCAGGACTCTACAAGGCTACACACCTCCTAAGTTTCCATTTAAGACATATTAGCCGGGTGTAGCGGCACACACCTTTAATCCCAGCACTTAGGAGGCAGACAGATCTACACCAGTTCACCTTATAGATATAGCGAGACCGTGTATCAAAAAGAGAGAGAGAAGGGTGGGTTGGTTGGTTGGTTGGCTGGATGGTTGGTTGGTTGGTGGGCTGGATGGTTGGAAAGTTAGAGAGCTAGCTCGGCAGGCTAGACTGCTTCCTGCTCTTCGAGAGGACCTGAGTTTGGTTCCTAGCACACATGTCTGGCAATCCACAGCCTCTCCTAACTTACTCCAGTCCTGGGAGATCCATTTCCCTTTCTACCCTCAGTGGATACGCACACTCATGTGCACATATCCGTGCACACACAATGACGCACAGACGCATGATTAAAAGGATAGCAAAAATAAAATCTTCTTTTTAAAAAGAAGTATCTCTGAGGCGTAAAAAGAAAGGGGGAAAATATGGAAACTGGAGCAACAGGCATTTACTCTTTGGTATTCCTCGGAAAGTCCTCCAGTCCCAGCCTCCCCAGCAGGAAAAAAATAAAAATAAAAATGTCAGTGGTCTTCACCTGAATTCCTGGCCTAAAGAAAGGCAATTGGTAATAGTCATAATACTTTATTAAATTAAACATTCTAATAAATAGCATACATAATGCACTCGGGGATATTTAGACACATTTACAAGCCTCACAGTAGAAATACTACTTTTTTTCCTAGATAATACACAAGGGGCAGGAGCTGAGGTCACAGCCTTTGCTCCACATCTATCAGCCCAGGCATCTTATAAAATACCCACTTGAATAAAAACTGGATTTGCTCATGAATTTTTGAAACAACCCTCCAGTTGCTTTTTGTTTGCACTTGAAAAGCTCCAAAAGAGTCAAAAAGGAAGTCTGAGTATTTGTGTGGCCTTTTCACAACCCCCTTGGACCAGGAGCACGAGTGCTCTAGCTACTTTGAGGTCCAAGCAATAGCTTTTGAGGGGCGGCCGAGGTGGTGACTTTAGTCTCTGGCTCCCCAAGACCTAGCATGGTCCTTTATTCTGTTAACCTGTGGTCAATAAGCGCTTGCTGAGTGGATGAAGGGCGTCCTGTCCCCAGGAACTGACCCACAGTCCGGCCTCCTCCTCTGGTGGCACCACAGAGGAACCCTGACTCCCTCTCATCACTAAGTCCACCGTTCTCTGCTTCCTCTGACAAGCTTGATGGTGCATCCAGTGATTTCAAAGGAATGAGGGCCCTTCCCTAAACCGGCGACGGCATCTGCAGGAGTTGAAAGGGGTCAGCAGGCTCCCCCAGAAGAAGGGAGTACTGCCCTTCTTTCTAAATCGAGCATCAGCCCACGCGTCCAAAATTTAAGAGGTGATGATGCCTCCTGTTAGCAGCTGCCCAGAGTTCTTTCCTGCTTGTGAGATCCGGGCAGAAAAGGGAAGGACTGGGAGGCGCGCGCATGGTTTCACTGGGTCCCCATCTTCAGCTGTAAAGGAAGCCCAAAGCCCAGACAATCGCTGTGGTTCCCACTCGGGGCTGACCTTTGAAAAGGGAGTTCATCTCTTCCAGCACCTTTGGGAAGGAACCCGAAGGGAGCTTTGAGAGCATTAGAGAGCTTTGTGCACTGGACACGGGGCCCTGAGCCGGGGCCGGAGGCAGGCAGGAGAGGCGCCCTCCGCAGTAGTGTTCGCAGCTGGTGTCGCAGACGTCCAAGCTACTCATTTGAGTCCATGCTGCGTCTCCCGGTGCCTCCTGAGGTCCACCTTCCTCTGGAAGCCCTTCCCACACAGGTCACAGCCAAAGGGCTTGAAACCCGTGTGCTTCCTGCTGTGAGTGATGAGGTTGGAGCTCTGACTGAAGGCTTTGCCACACACCTGGCATTTGTGGGGCTTCTCACCTGCAAGGATGGAAGACCAAGGGCAGGAAGTCTGAGCCTATGATAAAGCTGGGAGGGACCCGTCGCTACCCACACATTCTCGCTAGCAGCTGGCTAAGACCTTCAAGGCGTTGGAGGGTGATGGGCTGCAACATGAACCCCACTCCTGGCCTGCAACTCGGTACCAGTTAAGACGCGGGTGCACCAGGTGGAAGGGAGACTTCTTGAGTGGAGGCTCCCAGCCAAAGGTCTCAAACGGTTTCCTGCTAAACGGAAACTGAGCAGAGGCCACGTGCCCTCCCCAGCTGAATCCACCCCTAGGACTTGCCCGCCTGACTTTTTAGAAGCACAGGGCCCCCAGCAGATGTTCGACAGGAGGTGGGAGGGGCTGTCCTACAGACCCTATGACTGCTTTCGTCAGAGGAAGTTTTCAAATCTGAGTTTCCAAGTGGGTGTTGTTTTGTGTGGCCAGTGAAGCTGCCCTCTTTCTGGCTCTTCTTGAAGAACACAGGTTTTGTCCAATGTCTTAATTGTTTTAAAAATCCACATTAGAGCCACGAATCATTTCTTAAGGTTGTCTATTCTTTTCTTTTACTTCCTTCCTTTCTTTGAGGTTTTAAATCACAGGACCCTTAATATACCAACAACTCTTCATTGCAGATCAGCAGATAACAGGTACAGGAAGGGAAAAATGTTTAAACACAGGCAAAGGGAAAAAAACCATCAGCTTTTGCCTTTTCCAGCCTTGTGCACGGGTTAAAACTGGGGGAAACTGGCAAATCCCCAGACAGTCTTCCCATGGTTCTGTAGTTGGGACATGGCCTTGGGAGGAAAGACAAAAAAGTGTCTGTCTGTCTGTCTTTTAAGGAACCTTCCCTGTGTTCTTCCCTCTCTCTTCATACTTAGATCTCCTGATAAAGACTCACCCAGCAAAGGGGGGTTTTCCTGAGTTTTTGTGGAGGTGGAGGCTAGCCTTGGCTACATAATGAATTGTAGGCCAGCTAGGGCTGTATAGTATTATCCTGTATTTTTTTAAATCAGTAAAAATAAATACGTAAAAAGTAAAATATCACAGTGCCTTCTAGGAACCCACAATCGATGTTTGTAAACATTCATCAGTAAGTGCAGACATTTGCATCAGAAAACTCAGGAAAACCCCCCTTTGATCATGCCCCCTTGCCCAAAATTTCCATTTATAAGTTGTTCAAGACACTTATCAAATGCCAGGCAGTGGTGGAGCATGCATGCCTTTAGTCCCAGCACTTGGGAGGCAGAGGCAGGTGGATCTCTGTGAGTCTGAGGCCAGTGTGGTCTACAGAGAGATCTGGTATGGAGAGGTCTGTCTCTCTGTCTCCCATGTGCCACCATGCCCAGATGTGATTTGATTTAAAGGCATGCTCATGTCCCTCAGTAAAGCCAGAGATCGAGGTGTCATGTAACTCTCATGTAGGCTATTACAGGAAGTGTTCTTAGGGGCAAGAGAATCACTTTAGTTCACAAGTTTCTGCATTAAACCCAGCCAACTGCACCAGAAGTGTTGAAGGAGGAGTTCCAGGCTGGAAGCCAGAGCACTGAGATTAGCTTTGATAGATCACTCGATGTCTGGACAATAAAAAGACCACCTTTTAATCTCTCTCTCTCTCTCTCTCTCTCTCTCTCTCTCTCTCTCTCTCTCTGTGTGTGTGTGTGTGTGTGTGTGAGAGAGAGAGAGAGAGAGAGAGAGAGAGAGAGAGAGAGAGAGAGAGAGAGAGAGAGAGAGAGAGAGAGAGAGAGAGAAGCAGCAAAGCGGCAGGGGCCAAAAGCAAATGGGCAATCTACAATCTGAAACACGGGTATTTTCAAAGTATTGTAATAGCTTAGGAACTGTCACCATTAGGGAACGGAGGAATTGCAGACGTTTTTTGAAAAGAACAAACAACAGGAGTGTCTTACATTAACCAGCTCCCACAACGGAAAAGTCCATTATGACAAACGAGTCAAGACTATATACACTGGAGAGCTCAGACCAGCAGATCTGAACCTGAGCCCTGTGTGACCCTGGATAAGTCATAGGATCCCTCCGCGCCTCCATCCCCCCAACTCTACAATGGGGCCGAAGAACAGTTTCTGTCTCTTGGAGCTGTCAACACGGACTTAGGAGGAAGCTCAGTAGCATTTGCCTTTCTTTTTCTAATCAAACAAAGCAAGCTCTTATTTTAAAAAAATGAAGTATAGATGCCACACATGAATCCCGACAGCTCTAGTAAACACTGACAGTGATCTGGGAGGGTTTGGTGGCAGAGTGGAAAAACACTCCTTCCAAACACAGCGCCAAACCAAAGTTCCCTCTAGGGTGGGGGGAGGGAGAAAACTCCTCTGCCACTCACTGGGAACCAGAATGCCGGGAGGTACCTCCTACAAGCCCAGGCCCTCCAAGTCACCTGTGTGGATGAAGGTGTGTTTCTTCATGTCGGACTTCTGGTGGAACCGCTTGCCGCAGTACTGACAGGGGTAGGGGCGGGTGTCCGAGTGAATGAGAAGGTGTGTGGATAGTGTGGACGACCTCTTGAAGCTTTTGCCACAGATCTTACAGTCAAAGCTTCGTTCCTGCAGACGGGACAGAAAGGGAGAGGGGAGGGAGGGCGAAATTCACCACTGCTTCTGCAATTGCGACCCTCATTACCACTGACAGATCTCTCCAAGCCAGGAGCCCTCCTCTCCTCCTCCCTCCGTTTAGTTACAATCCCCACCCATCCTTCAACACCTACTCATTAACATGTTTTCTACCAGAGCGCTTTTCGGGGCCACAACCCTCCACACCCCAGGCCATTTTTTTGACACCCTTTGGCTGGTTTTTGCCACCCTCCTCAACAGGACCTCCCTCGGCCACTTAAGATGCCCCTCTTCCCAGTCACTGTGGGTTGGGGGAGGAGATGGGCTGTTGTAGTCACAGCCACTTGTATTTTGCTTTATCTCCCTCTCTTTAATCACCCTACAGGCATCCGCCAGGGACCTGGTGCGCTTCATGGTTCTGGGTGCCTTGAAGCCTTGGACTTAGGCAACAATTATGAATCAATGCAGCAAGGTGAGGCTCCCGCCGCACACCTTGGCCTCTTCAGCCCCGTGCCTGCGTCCCCAGCCCCTGACCCTCCAGCGTCCACACCCCGAGACTCCCCCCTTAGCGGCCTAGCGGGTACATTGGATGCTGTACGTCAGCTGAGACCCTTCCTTGCCAGCCAGGAAGGACAAAGGGGACATAAACAGTAAAGCCAGTGGGCCAGCCGCAAGCAGCGGTGCAGCCATCTCCCTCACGTCCAACAGAACTTCCGCCGCCGCTGGAGGCTCACAGTGGCGCAGACACCACCATCTAAGACTGCTGCAAACCCCCGGCCCTCCATCGCCCACGTTTCTCTGCACACCTACATCGGGGCAAGCAGAAGGGGCACCAGAAGGAGTCTGGAGGATGGGCTGGAAGGTCGGTCGTCCAGGCCTCCAGAGCCTAGCTTACCTGCGAGTGCACCGCCTTGTGCTGCTCCAGGCTCACCGCGTGCCCGAAGGTCTTGCCGCACATCTCGCACGCGAACGGTCTCGTGCCGCTGTGGGACCGGCGCACGTGCACCTCCAGCCCGTGCGGTGTGGAGAACACCTGGGGGCAAGTGGGGCCGGGGAGAAGGCCGCTGAAGGGGGGAGGGTCCCGGGGTGTGGACGCTGGAGGGTCACGGGGCTGGGGACGCAGGCACGGGGCCGAGGTGTGCCGCGGGAGGCTCACCTTGCTGCATTTGATGCATTTGTAGGAGCCGCCGCCCAGCAGCAGGCGGGTACACAGCAGCTCTGACTCCACCTTGACGCCCACGCTCTTGTCTGCGTGGATCTCGCGGCCGCGATCCTGGTACAGCCGGCCAGGGGCTGCGTTCGGCCGCTCGTACAGCCCGGCCGCCCCAGGCCCGAAGTCTCCATAGAGCCCCAGGCCCGCTCCACTGGTGGCTCCCCCTGCGGCTCCGCCGCAGCTCCCGGGTGGCCCCGCACCGGCTCCGCCCGCTGCCGGCTCAGGGCCGTACATCGGGGCCGGGTGGCCCGGCTCGGCGGCGCCACGCTCGCAAAAGAGGCTCAGGCCAGCGCTGCGCTCCAGGGCGGTGCACTGCCGGTAGCTCTGCACCAGGTGCCGCAGGTCGGACCCCGCGAGGCCGCTCCACGCATAGGGCTTGAAAGGCAGCGTGTAGGGCTGAGCTTCGTCCAGAGAGCGGCATAACGACTTCTCAGAGCCTGGAGGGAAAAACAGGAGGCGGTCGGGTCAGGCTCGAGGCTGCTGGGCGGAGCCCGCACTGCGTGATCCCTACTGTCAGGCTCCTAAGCTGGTTAGAACGCTAAGTATTCCGGACACCCTGGGTAAAAAAACTCAGGTGGGTCCACCACCGGACTTCCCGGGTCAGCGACAGGGCAGCAAAGCGATGTTTTAAATAATATACAGGGTGAGGAGATCGGTAAATTCGATTTGAGGGTTCTCTGGCTGGGCAGCCCCTCCCCCAACACCTTCCAGTCCTAGAGCTTACGCCTAGGGTCCTGTTACTAGATCCTGACCTCTCCTCCGTTTAAGTCTCCACTCAACCCCCCCTTTTTTTTAACCATATATTATGAAAGAAGGGCAGAAAAACTCTGGACCGAGGCTACCTAGAAGGATCAGACTGAATGGCATTATGAGATCTCTCAAAGCGGTGAGGTTGTTTAATGTGGGTTAGCAAGGGGGCAGCAGCAGGCAGGGGCATCCCTGATACATTTCTGATTAAAAAAATTATTTTACAGTTAAGGATTAGCCTCCCTCCCCCCCCAACATGTCTTCAGGAGAACTCTCCTCCCCCCACTCATGTGAATTTTGCTACAACTGGATATTAGATGAGTATGAGTCAATGTACCCCCCTCACACTCCATTTCTGGGCGAGCCTGTTCCCTGTGAGAGGTTCCGGGGCTGCTTGCTGGTCACACACAGCCAGGAAGAACCCTTTGCTTGCGGGGGTGGATGGATGAGCGAGCTATCTTTTAAAACCAGTTCTATGGCCTGGAAATAAGCGACCCTTGGCAGGATTTGGATCTTCGGTTGCTCCTTCTTGACTTTCACACAGACCCCAGATACTCCTACTCAACCCTAGTCACGTGCTTTGCAGGAAATTCAGTTGCTCCCTGGAAATGAATGCTGCCCCCGAGATTGGGCCTTCTTAGCAGAAGGAGGGGGAAATGAAACTTTTGAAGGCAGAGCCAACGGACTGAGATTTCCCTCAGCAACCTTGCTCTCCAGTGTGGTGCCCAGCTCTGTAAAGGCTCTTCCTGCCCAGGACGCTTGCTTGAGGACGCTTGCTTGGGGTATTCCTGTCTGAGTCCTGGATTCTGGAATCTGACACTCTAGTTTTTTTGTTTTGTTTTGTTTTGTTTCATTTTACAAACCAACCCCAGCTCCCCCCTTTCTCCCCTTCTCTCGCCCACCTCCCCCTTCCCAACCCCATCCACTCCTCAGAGGGAGTAAGGCCTTCCTTAGGGAGTCAACAAAGTCTAGCACACCAAGTTGAGGCAGGACCAAGCCTCTCCTCCCCGCCCTCCAACAAGACTGAGCAAGGTCTCCCACCATAGGGAATGGGCTCCTTATCGCACCGATCAGGTCCAAACGAATTAAGGACTAGCCTGGAGCCAACTGCCTTAGAAGGAGGCAGAGGACACTTAGGGGAAGGAGTCCAGTTCGGAGAGACTGGATGCCTCCCCCCCAAACCCCGACCCCGTCTCCTTAAGAAACAGCTTCTCCAGAAGGAGGCTCTCTGCTTCTCTTGGGCTTCCCTCTGTCCTGCGGGATCCCCGGATCTCTGCCACAAGACCTCGCAAACCGGTCCTTACCTGGAGAAACCGAGGGAGAAGGAGGCCTCCAGAAGTCCTCGAACTCTGAGCTCGGGTCACAAACGCTGTCCTCGCAGCTGTCAGGGGACGTGGAGGCTTTGTCGTGAGCCTCGGTTAGCTGGGAGTCGTCGGGGGACAAACGGTGTCGGGGCTCCATCCTCGCCTCGCCTGCACTCGCAGGGTCATCTGTGGAGAGGGAGTCAGGAGGGAAGTAAACCTAAGCCTGGCTGAGCCGAAACGGTCCCAGCTGGGGCGGCCGCCCGCCCCTGTCCTCCTCGGTCCGCTCAGACCCAGCCAATGAGCGGTGGGGGCATCTCTGGCCAGCTCGGCAGAACCGGAGCACTGGGAAACAAAGCAAGCGAAGCACCCGAGGGGCGCTGGGGGTAGCCCTCCCCTGGTTCTAGGAAGCGGGGTGGCTGGGAACAGAGTCGGCTTCCCTGGCAGCTGCCCGCCCGGCCCCTGCGCGCCTCGCACCTGCTCTGCCGGGCGCGGGCGCAGTCTCCAGACGCAGGGAGTAGTCTGGCCCCGGGGAACGCGGCTGGTGGTAGCTGTGCGCCTTCTTGCTCTTGACCAGGAAGGAGCGCGGCATGGTGGCCAGCCGCTGGAGGGACGTTTGGACCCTCGGCCAGCCTGAGGTCACTCCTCCGAGTTCTGAGAGGAGGGGAGAACCGGGTGGAAGCGCGAGTCAGCCCCGATGGCGGCTCCAGACCGCACCCTGGCAGAGAGGAGAGTGCCGGGGCCGGGGAGGAGAGAGGGAGGAGGGGCTTAGCCCCCAGGCGCCACGCTCACCAGGTGGCACTCGGACAGGTGGCGCGAGTCCGAGCCTCCGCTGCCACCGCCAGGGCTCATTGGTAAAACCTGTACCCGGGCTCTGGCTCGGGTCCCTTTGCTCTGCCTTGCCCACGCCCCAGCCCCTCCCTTTCCCCTAGCAAAGCCCTCTCGACGCTCTCCAGAGAGCGGTAGTCCGTTATCCCAACTCAACCCGGCCTGCAACGCCCGCCCGGTCACTTCTGGGTTGTGAGGGGGAACCGACCGGGACGCGTGCATTAGTTTAGTTTAAGCGGTGGGGGACCCGGAAGAGCCATGGAGAGAGCCAAGACCTCCGGGAGCCCCAGCGACGAACAAGCGAAAGAGGGGGGGCGTACTAGGCAGGACCGCAGGACTGGTTTGCCTAGCGACTGCGTGAAACTGAAGCTGGAGCAGCAAGGCAGGAAGCCAGAGGGGCGGCAAAGGACCAGCGTTTGCCCCAAGAGGAACGCCCACTGGGAAAAAGTTAGTCCCCAAGCCAGCGGTGGTGGCGGCACTGGCCAGGGCAGCGACCACTGTGAAGCATCCCAGACCGGCGCGCACAGCCTCGCCTCCGCAGCTAAATCCCGGGAAGAAGCATTCCCCGATCTGCTCACCAATGATCTCGTCCCAGGGAAGCTGGGTCTGAACTGCTGCGTGTGTGCACAGACTGCCCAACACGCAGCGCCCAAGTCCGTGGAGCACGCAACGGTTTAGGGGGCCAGCAAGAGGAAACCGGAGCGCGCGCAGCGCAGGAGCCGAGCACTGGCCGAAAGGCCGGGGGGGGGGGGGTGTCCCCCAGAGCCCAGCACGGCTGAGAGCCGGCGTCGCTCTCATTAACCCCCAATCAGTTCACCTAATCTCGGGTCGAAACCTGAACCGTCGGGGAGGCGGGGCTCCGTGCGTCCCGGCTCCGGGTCGGCTCTGCTCCCCCCCCACCCCTCCACCCCCGACCCTGGGAGCCCTGCGTGAACACTCCTCCGCCTGCCTTCCAGGTCCCAGGCGATGATGGGGGTCGATTCGCAAGCCGGCGGGAACGGCTGGTGGGTTCAGAGACCGAGGCACAGGGAAGTCCAGGCCGATGTGCGCCTCTGGTCCTGGACCTCCTGCGGTTTAGACTACAGAATCGGAGCCGCTTCGCTCTCGGGGCCTGGTACGGAACACACCTTCCCGCCCCGCTCTAAAGGAGTCTGGGGATCCCTGCTGTTGGGATTCAGGCCGGTCTGTACTGGCCTGTCCTTGAGGTTCTGACGGGGTACGCCCTCAGCTGCAGCCACTAAGAGCACCACCTGAGCATATTCACTATGTCCCTTTTAAAAGGACCCTGCCCACCTCCCCTCCCTCCCTCCCTTCCTCCCTATCTCTCCCTGCCTGTCTCCCCTGCTTCTTTCCCCTTTCTGTCCTCTCTCCCATTGCTCCTGTCCCTGGAAGTCGATCACCCCCCCCCTTTTTTTTTTTTTACCATCCTTTTCCCTAATAAAAACCCCTCCGCTTGAATTCTGTCGCATGGCCTCTCTCTCTCTCTCTCTCTCTCTCTCTCTCTCTCTCTCTCTCTCTCTCTCTCTCTCTCTCTCTCTCTCTCTCTCTCTCTCTCCCCCCCCGCTTTTTTTAAATCACAACACCTGCTCCAGACCCCCAACCCCAGTGCTTGCCCTTCCCCGAAGGTGTGGGGAGAAATGTGTGCTGGAAATTGCTGCCAGAGATCCAGGCTCCAGAAGGCCCTGGGGCGAGCGTGTCACACTCCTCGGTCGGGGTTTGGCTTCCAGGACCGGGACTCGGCCGCTGCAATTTTCCCTGCGGCTGTACAGCCAGACGCTCAAAGCAAAAGACAACTCTTAGAGCAAGCATGAAGAGAAGGAAAACAGAGCAAGGGCCCTTGGGGGGCCTGGGTGAAACTCGGGCCCGCGCCGGCCAGGAACTAGACCCGTGGGAAGCAGAAGGGCTGTATGATCCCGCGCGCTTGGGGCTGCGCGTCAGCAACCACGCGGGACACAGTAGACACGTCCTCGCTCCAGCCACAAGCCTACACTACTTTAGCACCCTGGAGGGCTTTGCTGGTTCCGGGTAGGAGGGGTTGGGGGGGAATGGCGAGGCCCAAGGCCCAGCGCGTGGGAAGGCAACCTCGTGCTGCAGCTGGCGTCCAGGGGGCGGGGCGGCACGCTCCTGGCACCGCAGCCCGCCAGGCTTCCCCTGGTCATCTGAGGCCGGGAATTAGGGACCTGAAGGCAGGGAGCTCAGGAGCCCGCTTCCAGAGCTCAGCTGCCGCCACGCACCCACCAGACGGTTCCTTCCTACGTGGATCCCACTCCCCTTTCTAGTCTCCAAACCGTGTGCCCCCCTCCATTCCAGATCTTTCGCTCCACCCGTTTGGTGGCTTCAGAAGCCAGCCCCCGGAGCTCTGCAGCAGGTGGGGACCCGCCAGCGCCCTCGGGACGTCCCCGTAGTGAGTGGCAGTGTCCTCCCACCAGTCCACCCCCGCCTGGGCGGGGAGGCACAGCAGTTCAGCAAACCTTACCTGCGGGGTCAGGGCGCGGGCACCGAGCTCTGAGAGTGTGCAAACTGAATCTTGCTTTCGGGAGCGACTGATCTGTCTTTCTGACTTTTTTTTTTAATCTCCTTCCGAGCTCAGCCCCCAAAACCGCAAACTTCACTTCCTGAGCGTTAGAGGCGCTCGCTAGCCCTCTCAGACCAATCCCCATCCCCCAGTGGGGCAATGGGCCACGAGCCTCCTTTGCGCAAGGAGTCGGGAGGAGATGGGGGGCATTCTGGGAGCGAGGTTCCCGGGTACCCCTGTGCAGTCCTCCCCATTTGTTTGTCTGTGGGACCAGGGGCTATCTGTGGAGGACCCGGGAGGTCTGAGTACCCAGCTCTAGAAATAGCTTGAAAGAAAAATCTAAGTATTCTCGACTTCTTGGAGATCTCCGCAGCGAAAAGTCACAGATTCAGGACACAGATTGACGGGAGCGGCGGGCGCTGGGGGGCACTCGGCTCGCACGAGGCCTCCCTATCCCTCTGGCTGTGGGCACCCCAACCCTGTGGCCTGCTTGGGCAGCGTCGCCCCCGGATCGCGGCCGTGAATCACCGGACCCCGGTGCCGCCGGCCTGGAGCCCGGCTGGTGGTCACCGCGTCCGCAGAGCGAAACCTGCGCCGCGGCCCCGAAATAGCTTGTTATGGAAACACTTGAGGATAAATACGCCCAATGAAGCTGAAAATACCTTGACACCCAATCCCAGAGGTTTGCTCATTTCCCTTCGGATTTAGGTAACGGTTAAATTTGGAAGAGGTGGGCGAGCGCCGAGCCCGGGCGAAGAAGGGCCGGGCTGGTGGCGCGTCCCGCGGGCGCCGGTGGCATCGGTGGGCGCGTCCTCCCCGCCCCCGGCCCCCGCCTCGCGCTAGCTTCCGGTGGTCGGAGCTGCGAAATTAAAGGCGGCGCGGGGGCCAGTGCGCGGGGGCAGCGGCTCGCCTGAGCCCGCCCTTTGGGACTTAGACTGGCAGGGGAGGTGGGGGGGGGTTGGCGCCTGGGGTCGCAGTCAGGTAGTGAGCCTAGGGGACACTGTCTTGAAAGGACAACCCCCCGAAGGTGATTGCAAAGCGAGAGCTTGGGAATAACGTCCACCGTGGGCTTGTCCTCAAGGGAGAATTAACACTTGATAGCAGGGGGAAATATATATATGTATGTATGTATGTATGTATGTATGTATGTATGTATGTATTTGAGACTATGTATTATGTTGCTTAGTAGGATGTGCACTGTGCACAATCGGTGCCTTCACCCTCTCCTCGCTTGCAGGGGTGAAACCGTTGTCAGCGCCATACTCTTCCAAGTGAATTGGGCCAGGTTTTGGTCACTATTTCATGCACGATTTCTGCAATGAGACACTGCGCGGGAGCGGGGGGGGGGGGCGGGGGCGGAGGCAGCGATGCCCAGCAGATCTTGCAAAACATAAACAAAAACAAACAAAAGTATGTTCAAGCGTTTATCTTGTTGGTTCTCTGAGAATGAAACCCTGGGATTTGCACTTAACAAGCGCATGACAATGCACTAACCCGGGAACTATCTAGTATTTCAGATTAATCCAAAATTGTTATAAGGCAAAAAAAAAAAAACAAAAACAAAAACAAAAAAGTCCTTTCCATAGGGGAAAAGGTGACTTTTTTTCCCACTGTAAAAATGTGAAAAACATTTGGTTAGCACAGCATTGCTTCATGTGTTTTAACGAATTGGGCATCTACCTCCTATGGCCTATATCACTGCTATGTACTAGGACACAGATCCTGTCTGCTAAGCTGCCCCTCAGGTCCAGGGTGCACTGCACACCGTTTCTTTATAGATGAATGCAGAGGTATGCTGTGCTAGAAGGATCATACACACACACACACACACACACACACACACACACACACATAGGGATAAGCTAAAGGAGGGAAATCAGTCAAATTCTATTAATAATGCATTTATTGTGTGCTTCATCTTGTCCTGTTGTGAATACAGTTCAGAGTAGTTCCAAAGCAAATATTTCTCCCATGTTATCTTGTTTTTTTTATGACAAGGGAAAACTCAAACGTTTAGAAGAAAATGACAAACATGACAAAATTAAATTTGTTATTAACCAAATCACAAAAAAATGGTGAAACTGTTTTTACATAGAAGCAAGCTCAAAGTCAAAATCTCCCATCCAGGCTCTCTGGCTAGTCAGCAGTTTAGTTAAGTACTGCCAGAGGTTCCATGAAGACTCCTTTAGCAACAGTGAAGTCCTTCCTTTGGCTAACTGAAGTCCTAACCTGAATCATCTGGCTTTCCATTTGCTGTCAGTAGACTCTTGGGATTTCTGACTTGGCAAATAAAACTGGGAGCAGGTAGGAGGTAGACAGTGTTGAATCCCATATATATCTATCTTTACAGGCTGGGCCATGTAGTTATGATTGATCTAAACTAAATAAATACACACTTAAAGTAGTTAACTCAAGAGAAGGGGGTACCTCTGAGGTGTAAGTGCTGAGATGTGTGATTCCCACAGTTGGGGGACATAGGAGGAAGGCAGGGAGAAGAGACCCAGAGAGATGAAGAGGCTTACAAAAGAGGGGCAGGGAGCCACACCTGGCCATGGTGTTACAATGACCTGTCTCCTGCTTAGCCCTTCAGATCACCTTTTGTTTACTTAATACTAAACTGAAGGTAAAGAGAGTATCC